TCTGTCTATATACATGTTTATCAATTTATCATATATCTATCATCTCTTTATTAAAATACATTTCTATCTATCTCTCTATCTTTCTATCTGTCTATCTGTCTATCTATCTTATACATGTCTATCTATCTATCTATCTATACATGTCTGCATATCTATCTATCTATCTATCTATCTATCTATCTATCTATACATGTCTGCATATCTATCTATCTATCTATATATCTATCTATATATCTATCTATCTACATGTTTATCAATTTATCATCTATCTATCATCTCTTTATTAAAATATCTATCTATCTATCTATCTATCTATCTATCTATCTATCTACATGTTTATCAATTTATCATCTATCTATCATCTTTTTATTAACATATCTATCTATCTATCTATTTTATTTAAAGGTTATTTGAAATCTTATTAAGTTGGACATTTTGCGTTAATTTCTCCGATGAATCGTGGCTTTCATGTATCACCTTCTCTCTGACGTCAGTCACCACCCCTTTGTCAAAGTGCGAACAACTGGGGGTCTCATGGGCGCATATAAGGACGGGCCGCTGTCAAAGCAGAGTCATCTCAGGCCGAGAATAGCAGCAAAGAGTCAGAATCTCTCCAGCACCTTCACGCGGAAGATGTCTTCAATCCGTGCCGCGTGCCTCCTTTGCGCAGCACTTTTCGCAATGGTGAGGGGTTTCACCCACGAAGACATGAAAGACGCTCTGCTGAAGAAACTGGGACTTAGTGAAGTTCCGAAAATTCACAAGCGGGATCTGGAGAACCTTGTGATTCCAACGCACATAAAGAACAAATATGTTTCCATGCTGAAACTGCATCACGCCAGAAAACGCCGCTCGCTTCCGAGTTTAGCCGGCATACTGAGGGGAATCCCTGGCAATGCAGGTAAGATTAATACGCAAAATGAAAATGCACATGATATGAAATGAAATACTATACTATATTTTAGTGCCGTGGAAATTAACAATTAATGCTACTATTTTCAAAAATGAATTTTCAATAAGCAAAATGTAAATATAGTTTGTAATAAATCGCTCTCGTCTATTCCAGACATCTCTGGTGAATTTGTATATTCTGACACGACACGTCAACGCGTGGTGTTTGAGATGACATCAAGGATTCCGGAGAACAGTGAAGTGACCATGGCAGAACTAAAACTGTTCAAGAAAGCCCCACACAAGCGCTCCATACCAGAGAGAAAGGGCCACAGACCCGTCAACAACGCCCGGGTGAGCATCTACTGGGTGGAACCTCTGAAAGACGGGTCAAACCGATCTTCACTAGTGGATTCCAGGTAAGCACAGACAGTCATTATTCTTTCTTCATTATGCTAATTCCACTGCTGACTGGCGTTAAGGAACGTGCATGCTAATTGTCACAACCATTATCTCATCAGGTTGATTCCCATTCACGAAACCGGCTGGAAGAGCTTTGATGTCACCCAGGCGGTGCACTATTGGTCGAAGAGCCGAATGGAGATGCCCATGCACCTGGAGGTGTGGATCGAGGGCGAGAGACCCGGCAGTTACGCGGCAGAAATGGCCAAGTGTGTCCGTTTCACAACTCAAGATCCAAACGATAACACTCTTGGAAAACCTGAGCTTGTTCTATACACCCTCAACCTCGAGGAGTTTGGGTAAGGGTGGCTTCATTTCAAAGCAGCATTATGCTAATAAACAACATTTATTTATTTTTATTTGATTTTTTACTGGAGTACCTTGCATTATACACATAAAAGTCTTAAATATATTCAAATATGTTTTTGTTTCCTTGAAGTAGGCTACTTTTACCTTATTTTAATGAAACGTAAGCCTATTTATAGGCTATGCGCAATTTGTCATATTTACAAAAAACAATCTATAAATAAATTCTAAATCATAATTTTTTGGGTTATTTATTTATTTAAACTTTATATATTTTTTTAATAATTATGGCTTTGTACCTATATGTAGAAATTCAAAGTTAGTGGAATTTTTCAAAATGTGAAGTAGTCTATAGCCAGAGGCGGACAAAGTACTCAACTCCATTACTTGAGTGAAAGTACAGGTACTGCTGGTCAAATATTACTCCATTACAAGTAAAAGTTGTAAAGACAGATTTTTACTTAAGTAAAAGTACAGAAGTACTTGCTTTTAAAAGTACTTAAGTACCAAAAGTAAATTTCCTTTTTTATGTCAATGCACATATTTTTTATTGTTGTACGTCTACTTCGAGGACCTTGATAGAAATGTAGTGGAGTGAAAAGTACAATATTTGTCTTTCAAATGTAGTGAAGTTAAAGTCATAAGTTCCCAGACAAAATAATACTCAAGTAAAGTACAGATACTCAAAAAGTGTACTTAAGTACAATACTCCAGTAAATGTACTTAGTTACTGTCCGCCTCTGTCTATAGCCTACTCAGAAGAATCACTCTATTGTTATCCTAATTAAATATATATTCAAATGTGATTTATGTGTAATATGGGCTCTGTGGTGTAAAGTGTTACGGAAGGAATTTCATAGAAATAAAAATGTGTTCCATTTAAAACGTACAATGTGTTAATAGCCTATTCTCTTATATTATTTACGTTGCAGGTCTAGTGGAGACTGTGAAACCATAAAAGACAGTGAAATGTGCTGCAGGGAAAAATACTTCATCAATTTCCGAGCCTTGACTTGGACCCAGTACTGGATCATTGAACCTTCCGGGTATCAGGCGTTCCGGTGTAACGGCGGCTGCCGGCAGCCCAAGCGTAACTACGGTTACGGAGAGAGGAAGTGCGCGGTTGTGGAAAGCGCGCCGCTACCGATGATGTATTTAGTGAAAAAGGGAGATTATACTGAAATTGAGGTCGCTGAGTTCCCAAATATGATTGTAGAAAAGTGTGGATGCGCAATGGATAATATTTCAGTTGTATAAATATGCGATTCGCCATCGACCAAGTGACGCAATGTACTTAAAAGCTATAAGGCTAAGAAAGGGTGTTGGCAACTTAACCCTTATTGAGATACCTCAAGCACTTTGTATAAATTTGTAAATATTGCTAAATTGATATGCATTTATTTTTGCATTTGTATATGATGCCATATGAAGCGAAAGACTGATTTGTAGATGTTATATTTTCAGCAGTAAATAGAATGGTTTGTTGTATATGTCAACATGTTGACTGAATATAAATTAAACTATTTTTCATTTAAGTGATTTTTATTGGTCTTCGTTTGCATATTCCAGTGTTTGCAATTGGCCACATGGAGCACAGACATAAATGCACAAGGCAGTTATGCTTTGTTTACTCTACAGACACATAATCACTTATTTAACAGAACAATTTGTAGTTTAAAAAGGATATGAAGTGTCAAGATCCTTCTTTAAACATGACTTACCTAACAGTGTACTGTAAATGGTTCTAATACAAAGTACACTGAGAGTTTACAAAAAAATTAGTGGCAACCATACAAATACCAGTTCTTCAATCAGGTTTTCAGAATCTCGATGATTGTTTCATGCCAGTAGAATTTACCAGAGTTGAACTAGTACTAATAACTGTATTTAAAGGGATAGTTTAGGGCTGGACGATATGGCCAAAATTGATATCACGATATATTTCTTAATTTCGGTCCATACGATATAATTCCGATATCGATATGAACACTATTTATCTGAAATAGAAATCTTTTGTAACATTATAAATGCCTTTATCATCACTTTTGATCAATTTTAAGCATCCTTGCTAAATAAAAGTATAATTTCTATAATTTCTTTCCC